GCTCTGTCAGAAAAGAGGAAGGTCTGTCAGTGGTGAGAGGGAGGGAAGAAGGAGATGCAGGTTTGGGTTACCTTCTGCCTCCTCCTGACTGCATGTTAAAACTCAAGTTAAGCACTGTGCAAGGACACCTATTTGGTTTGAGCCCCCAATCTTGGTTGGGTTGGCATTGGATCATCCCAGGTCAGATTGGGACTGCTTTTTCGGTCGTGGCCCCAATCTGGTGGAACGCTCCGTCACAAGAGACTTGGGCCCTGCGGGACTTGACATCTTTTTGCAGGGCCTGCAAGACAGAGCTGTTCCGCCAGGACTTTGGCCAAGGCACAGTCTGACCCCCTCTCTCCTTCTGTAATCATCATAGAACTCTAACCCAATGGTTTCCATTAATTTGATTATGAATTGATTTTAGAATGTATTTTAATTAATTGACTGTGTGCTATTTTTACTTGTTGTTAGTCGCTCTGAGCCCTGCTTTGGCAGGGAGGGATACAAAGAAAATATTATTATTATTATTATTATTATTATTATTATTATTATTATTATGTGATGGGAGGTGCCTCTTGTTGGAGTCCCGCAGAAAGCATTGGCACGCATCCAAGAGACATGTGCACGCTATAAAGTGTATTAGCAGAGTCAGCGAAAGCAAAATTGTGTAGGAATTGTGGCATCAAGTATTTTATTATTTACAGCAAAAGAAACAAAAGAAACATGGCAGTTTGTGTGAGCTCCTTCTCACCCATCCTCTCTAGCTTTCTAGCTGGACAGAGAGCAAAGATTGGAAGCTTGTTGGCTTGACTTTCGCTCACACACGCAGTGATAAGAAATGAAATTGCCTGATCACTTGACCCTCTGCAATAGTAGCAGTGGAAAATGCTGACACTCTGAAGCATCATATGCTGGATTCCGAATCAGATGAAGGGGGTTCCCAAATGGCTTAGTTGTCGAACAAATCGGCTCCCAAACGCCACAAACCCAGAAGTAAGTGTTCCAGTTTGCGAACGTTTTTCGGAAGCTGAACATCTGACGCGGCTTCTGCGGCTTCCAATTGAGTGCAGGAAGCTCCAGCAGCCAATTCAGGAGTTGAGAGGACTCCCAGAACAGATTCAGTTCTAGAACTTAAGTTCTAGAACCAAGGTACCACTGTACTCTCATGTTGTGTCAACGTGTGTCAACTGACTAGGTCCACCCCTACTCACCCATCAGACTTGTCACACACTTCTGCGTTCAACAATACACAGGCTTTAGAATAAAGTATGTCTAAAAATCCATGTGCTGAGGTAAAATATGGTCTAAAGATGTATTTTGTGATAAAATATGAGATGAAATGCGTATTTAAATACTTAAATGAGAATTTCCATGGGGATTTCGTTCTTTAAAAAACCATTAGCGAAGAAACAAGATGGAGTGGACTCACAAATGAACACGAGACATGGATGCAGATTGGAAATAGGCTGATCTGTCAGTCTCTAGGTAGAACCACCCCCTCCACACTGGTCTGCTGGCATGGATATGAATTTTATGTGTATGAATCCCTGACTCCTTGTTTTATTTGCTTTTGTATGTTTTTATGCTGTTGTTTTATTAGTGTTAGGTTGTATTTTTTATTTTAATTTATATTGTTTCTGTATTGTACAGAGTATAGACCACCTAGAGATTTGTGGTTTTTTAAAAAGCGAATTAGAATTTTTTAAAAATAAAATAAAACATAAAATAGCACAGTATGTTCTTCTAATAAAGTTGTGACCTGTTTAACCTTGGCATCTTGGCTGTTTATTTCCTTCCTCCGAAGCTTGGCATTGTCACCAAACGTGATGTCAACAATCCAAAGGGTACAATCCTGGTCCTATCCAAGTCCAAAGCAAACAAAAACAAACACTAAACTAAACCCCAACCCCCCGATCTTAATGAAGTGGGGTGGGATGGCAGCCAATGTTAAATTGTAGCTTCAAGATTCCAGTATATCCAGTATATGCTTGGTGCAGCTTGCAGCTGCTCCACAACTCCCAAGAATATTTCCATTTCCACTTGGCTCTACATTGTAAATCAACAGCTCGCTGACGTTTTACACAAGCTGACTGCTAGTGCTATGGGAAGAACTGATCCTTGAATAGGAGGAGGGGCTATTAACATGCATGGGAAGAGAACGCAGCAAAATGCCCAATCACTCAGCCAAAATCTGTCCCATTTCCCAATTAAAACATTAACATGCTTCCTCAATTTGTTGCCATTATTTCACTGCTGCCTATATGAATCAATGTAACCTTCCAGCCTCCTCCTCCTCCTCCTCTCCTGCTTCTCCTTCTCCTGCTATTTTTATCCCTTTCTGCCAGCTGGAAATTGTAGTTTTGACAGCTCAGCTCCAGCTTGGATGCTTAGCAGTGGATGCTTACATGCTATATCTCAGCAAGGTGCATTTCATAGGACACACCTCCCCACTAAACTTAAACTGGATTAACCATAATACCCTCTTCACTGGGGAACTTGGGGATAATAGTTATTCCAGGGATCTTGCTACCACTTGGCAGAGATTTGGGTGGCCTGTAACAATATATATTAATTGGAAATGCTAAGGTTACATGTATGGCAAGCATGTGCTGTTCTCCTCCCTAATCTGGTAGGCAGGCTGAGACCCTACCTGCCCGCGGACTGTCTCGCCAGAGTGGTGCATGCTCTAGTTATCTCCCGCTTGGACTACTGCAATGCGCTCTACGTGGGGCTACCTTTGAAGGTGACTCAGAAACTGCAATTAATCCAGAATGCGGCAGCTAGACTGGTGACTGGGAGTGGCCACCGGGACCACATAACACCGGTTCTGAGAGATCTGCATTGGCTCCGAGTACGTTTCCGAGCACAATTCAAAGTGTTGGTGCTGACCTTTAAAGCCCTAAATGGCCTCGGTCCTGTATACCTGAAGGAGCGTCTCCACCCCCATTGTTCAGCCCGGACACTGAGGTCCAGCTCTGAGGGCGTTCTGGCAGTTCCCTCACTGCGAGAAGTGAGATTACAGGAAACCAGGCAGAGGGCCGTCTCAGTAGTGGCGCCTGCCCTGTGGAACGCCCTCCCAGCAGGTGTCAAGGAAATAAGCAACTATTCTACTTTTAAAAGACATCTGAAGGCAGCCCTCTTTCGGGAAATTTTTAATGTTTAATGCTGTATTGTGTTTTTAATATTCGATTGAGAGCCAACCAGGGTGGCTGGGGGAACCCAGCCAGATGGGTGGGGTATAAATAATAAATTATCATCATCATCATCATCTTCAAATTACTGTTGGGGAAAGTAGTGCCCGATAGGACTGGTGGGACAGAAGTTAGGGAGCTAAACAGCAGGTGGCGCCATAACCAATAACAGGGAAGTCACCTAGCCCTAGTTTAGTCCCTCCCCTCTCTGTTGCTGAGTTCTGTAATGAGTTCTACACTGAGACAAAGGAGGAGGAATCTGACAGGCAGTTCCATCCCTGGGCTGAATGTAACTAGGAAGGAATGTAAGTGGCTGAGGGCCATTTGAAATTGGATGTGGCGCTGCATCCTAAAATTCGGGATTTTGGTATAGATGCCTTTCAGTTCACATATTGCTCCAGAAAAGGTGAGAATTAGGTATACTTGCATTCTAATGTAACTGAACTGAATTTCTCCCCCGTACACACTGGTGAATTTGTGGGAAGAACATTAAGGGAAGTTCAGGAACAACAACCCACATACACACTGATGTGTTTTTTTTTTAAAAAAAGTTATCACATAACCTTCAACATTTCTCCGACAAAAATGGGGACATTCCATTCCATAATGATAATTTTACTATTTATACCCCACAAATCTTACTGGGTTGCCCTAGCCACACTAGGCAGCTTCCAACATATATAAAAAACATAATAAAACATTAAACATTAAAAAACTTCCCTGTACAGAATTGCCTTCAGATGGCTCGGGGGTTGGATAACTCCATACTCTCCAACATTTCTCCAATGAAAATAGGGACATCCTAAGGAAACGTGTATGGGACGTGGGTGGTGCTGTGGGTTAAACCACAAAGCCTAAGACTTGCTGATCAGAAGGTCAGCGGTTCGAATCCCCACAAGGGGGTGAGCTCCCATTGCTCGGTCCCAGCTCTTGCCAACCTAGCAGTTCAAAAGTACGTCAAAGTACAAGTAGATAAATAGGTACCACTCCGGTGGGAAGGTAAACGGTGTTTCCGTGCGCTGCTCTGGTTCGCCAGAAGCAGCTTAGTCATGCTGGCCACATGACCCGGAAGCTGTACGCCGGCTCCCTCGGCCAATAAAGCGAGATGAGCACTGCAACCCCAGAGTTGGTCACGACTGGACCTAATGGTCAGGGGTCCCTTTACCTTTACTAAGGAAAAGTGGGACCTTCCAAGATCAAATCAGAAACTGGAACGGCTTCTCTGAATCAGGGACATCCCTAGAAAATAGGGACACTTGGAGGGTCTGTTATCAGTAATAGCTGTAGCTTTAATAAGAATCCCAGCTTGTGCTCAGCCCAAAAGTGACCAATAAATTGAATATATAATTGTAGACAGCAGCACTGCTAATTTCCGGAGCTTGTTTTGCATGCAGTACATCTGCTAACCGGTTTATGTGCACAAAGCACGAGGTTTTAAACTCATAAAACATAATAAGTGTAAAACAATATTGTTCTCATTACTGAGTGTTCCCATTCATGGAAAGCAATTGCATCTTCTGAAAATGTCACTGCACAGCCATGCAGAAACACACTTCTGAAATGCACAGGGATATTTTCTTAAATAGAGACCTCTGGGCCTTGTTTTCCCAATCCTATCTTCCAGATCAGTTGTATTCATGAAGCCACATGACTATGAATAGCTGCAGACTCTACAAAACTACTGGGAAAATCCTAATGGCATGGTCCTGGCAGTAAAGCCTTTTGAGTCCCATGGATCTCATTGAGAATGTTAAGCATTTGCTAAAGTCAGTGAGTCAGTGGATTACAGTCTACGTCTATTGGCATTGCTGTAGCTAAGAACTACAAGGCAGTGTGGTGCAGTGGTTAGAGTGCTGGATTAGGACCTGGGAGGTTAGGGTTCAAATCCCCACTCAGCCATGAAGCTCACTGGGTAACCCTGGGCCAGTCTTTCAGTCTAACCTACCTCAGGGTTGTTTTGAGGGTAAAATGGGGAGAGGGAGAACCATGCATGTTACCGGGAGGAAAGGTGAGTTATAAATGCAATGAATAAAAATGAATAAATAATAAACAAACATTTAATACATCCAAATTTAATACAACTCAAATATGGGAATGTTGTTATGCGTGTGGCAACAACCTACTTTACATAAAAGTCTGAGCTTAAGGCACAGATTTTTTTAACAAGGTTGCTATCTTCAGTTTTCTTCTGTTGCAGAGAGGTGGGAGGGTTATGCAACAGAAAAACAAAACAACATCAACCCAGCTCTATGCCTTCGCCACTGAAATCAATAAGACTCAGCAGTCTGGGGCCCTTCTTCATGTGTCTCCTCCACAAGAGGTCCAGAGAGTGGCAACACGAGAACAGGCCTTTTCTGCAGTGGCTTCCCCTTTGCAGAATCCTCTTCCCAGCTCGCCTGGTGCCTTCATTATACATCTTCAGGCACCAGGCAAAAATATTCCTTTTTAACCAGGCCTTGGGCTGATTAACAGTCTGTACCCTTATTAATGTACCTGTGGGAGGGGTGGTTGTGGGTTTGTTTTGTGCTTGTTCTTAATATGTGTTTTTATTTTGTATTTTGTTTGTTGTGAACTGCCCTGAGATCTTCGGATGGAGAGCTGTATACAAATTTTATAAAATAGATTGCTAGATCGATCGATAGATAGATGATAGATAGATAGATAGATAGATAGATAGATAGATGATAGATAGATAGATAGATGAATGAATGGGGCTGAACCATGCCCTATAGGTGTTTATGCAAGTAACTCATTCCACACATTTCCACTTGCACAGTGGAGCTTTCCCACTCTCCTCCTCCTCTCTCTCTCTCACACACACCCGCCCACCCCCAATCCTTTGGAGAAGATTTGGGGAGGACACAGGGTATCACTTGGCACTGTGGTTTCTAAACAGTGTGCAATGAGATTGCAAAAGAGATGCAAAAGATAAAAACTGCTAAAATTAAGCATAAATGCTTACCTACCTAAAATGCCTGCTGAAATAAGAAAAAAAAAGTCATCAGCAACTGCGCATGTGCACAGTGGAAAAGTCCTACATGGCTATCTGTGTTCTATGCTCTAAGTGATAAATTAAAAATAATCTATAATTGACACCTGTCAAGATTTCCAAGTAAGATTCAAGATTTTAAATGACATTTTGGCAGAATTGGGATCCTTGCCATCATGAATCTACTGAATATTCCATTTCAATTAGCTGGCTTTAAATATTATATAGTGTGTGGGACTATTTTAGGCATAAGAGAGAGAGAGAGAGAAATCATACGCCACAGTTGTAGCATTCCTTTCTTTTCTTTTAAAATAACCACTGTCACAGTGAAAAATGCCCAAACAGAGCATCATTCTACTTTACGATTCGTAAGTTGTCACTTGGAGTACAGTGTTGCTGATATTTTAATCCTCATTAATCTTTGAAAAATATTATTCAAAGTACTTTTTTTTTGCCTTGAAGATAACAGAAATCCATATGTGACGATCCACGAGGGCCATTTCCTTGCTGTTATCCAGGTAGAATGAACCCATGGATGTGGGAACAAGCTTGTGACCCCAGGGCCTGCCCCAGAACTTGGCATGTTTGGCTGAAACATGCATGTTTCTCTTCCACACTTTCACTCTGCACAGAGAAATGCATGAATATTGCTCAGGCATCAAAAGATGATGGACTTGGAATGCGCTGAATTCAGCATCATTGGAGGTTTGTTTTGAAACAGAGGTTGACGGCCAGAGATTCACTAAGTGTGATTCCTCTAGCTGTGATTCCAGTTGGACTAGATTGCCCTTTGGTTCTTTCCAACTCTGCAATTCTATGATTCTAAGATAAGTAAGGAAGGAAGGAAGGAAGGAAGGAAGGAAATTTTTATTTATACCCTGCCCTCTCTGGCCAAGACCCGGCTCAGGTCGGCTAACATCACATATCAAATAAAGTGATACCTCGGGTTACATATGCTTCAGGTTACATACGCTTCAAGTTACAGACTCCGCTAACCCAGAAATAGTACCTCGGGTTAAGAACTTTGCTTCAGGATGAGAACAGAAATCGTGCTCTGGCGGCGCGGCGGCAGCAGGAGGCCCCATTAGCTAAAGTGGTGCTTCAGGTTAAGAACAGTTTCAGGTTAAGAACGGACCACCAACCTTCCTTCCAAGGAAACTGAGTCCTGGAGTCTCTTACCATTTGGAGATTGGGATGACTTGCAGCAATATAAGAAGCGGGGCATCTGTTAAACTGGAAGTCTTAAGTTCCATCTGAAATATGGTCTCCACTTTTGGATTCCCCCTCTCCCTGTTTCGAACCTTAGGGTAATGGATTTTAAACTAGATACAATTTGGGGAAGGAAGGAGGCTTTCCAATTTCATCTGCAGTGAGAGGGGGGAAGGGAGCAAGCACATATAGCATTTTTAGTTTCCTTGCTGAACTGGAGCCTATTTGCCTTTGATCACTGCAAAACAGGCTAAGCCTTCTGAAACATTTCTCTCAATTATTTACCCTTTCATATATTACCCTAAAGCAAAAACGAAGTCTGATAGTGTGTCCTCCACCCCCTCCACCAAGCAAATGCAAATTTATGTGTTTAATTGTCCCCCCTTTTTTTTCTAGCTGGGCATAAGCAAATAGAGATTTGAAATAATGAAATGGGCAACGTCACATGTTGCTACTTTGTTAATCTTAACTAAAGCACGGAGGAGGGTTAAATCAATTTAAATTAGCTTTGTGATGACAAGTGGGGGGGGGGGGAGAGAGATAAACCTTTTCAGAGGAGGTGTTCTTTTGCATTTCCTTCTGCAAAGAAGTGACAGACTCCCACCTTTCTCGCTCGAGACAATAATGCTGTGCTGCTTTCTAGTAGAACCATTTGTGCATTATTAACCTAATGCTAGCACTGTTATGTTCAGGCATCAGATAATAAATGATGCTGTAGGGGGCTTGTAGCCTACCTAAAAGATATTCAAAACATCTCCTTTTCTGGAGCAAGTGTCCTAAAATGACCTGATCGCACCCTACTTGTCGACTTTAGAAGAGGAACAACTCAATCTTTCCGACCCGCAAACAATCATTCTCAAACTGTGTGTCAGTATAACTTCAGGGAACTGCTGTGAGCAACCAATAAATTAAATAATGGAAGGCACGTCAGAGGCACTGGGCGCACCCCCTGACGCAGTTAGGTAACATTAGTCTCTGGATTTACTGGTCTTATTGCTCCCTGATTTAAATGGCAATGTGTATTGTTACACTTACTTCAGATTGTGGCTAAACTGTTGCAGTTGGAGGTCCTCCCACTGAGTGGGGACCTGGACCTCTGTCCCAAAGTCATGCCTCCTTTGGATCTTACCTGGCAGGGGAGATATCTTGATCATGAAAGAGGTTTTCTTAAGTATAATTAGTCTTAACTTTTGTTAAGTTTAATTATACATGGAAATGGGAAAAAAACTCTGCATGTGTATTGCTAAAAGTTTGACACTGGAAAATTCCATTGATGCCAAGTACGAGCAACAGAGTGCCTAAGAGCGGATAATTAATTAAGAATGTATCTCTGCTAGCTTTCACATGGTGTTTAACTTAGATCACATGAAAAAGGCATTCAGTTGCAAATCTCCATTTTATGTGAGTTAGTTTTTCTTCTGTCTGAAGCAGCCAGAGAAGGAAGGATGTGCCAATGATTGTCTCCAGGAACACAACCTCAGGCTGTATGTAATGAAGGCTGTGGGAGAGACAGAGCTTTGATTTCAGTTCTGGATAAAGTTAGTTCACATGTCTAAGATGCTATACATGTGCTTGGACAAGCACATGATATTATGCAACTATTTGGATGTAACCTTGTTCTTTTGAGTGTCTGTTTTGGAACAGGTTCTGTTAGTAAAACTTTTGAACCATATTTTTGGACTGGACAATTTTTATTCCAAGAAGAGTATGGTTTTATTTGTCCTATTGCTTCTAAATGCACAATATTAATAACTACAATAGGTTTTCCCAGTGGAGGCTCATCCATTGCTCTCCACGTGTGCTCACCCCTGTGATTTCCCCAAATGTGGGAAACTTGACTTCTCTCTGTCTGGCCCTTTGAACTCTCCCCAAGCCAGACACCCTTTACTCAGGCCACACCTGTCACTCACACTGCTTTGCACACTGAGCCTTTTTGTATGGCTTCATTGTGACTTTGAAGATAATGCCTCTTGCTTGCAGGATACAAAGGGGCATGTGCGCATGTGTGTTCATGTGGAAAGTAGCCTAACTGTAGAAAGGTAACATGTGAATTATTTGCTGTGCGCACTTTTGCCTCTGTCCTCATCTGCCACTGGCATGTGGCTCTCAGAAGGTTATGGAGAAGGGAATGCAGCCCTCAGGATGAAAAGCCCCACCCTCTTGATATATTAATTTTAAAAATGGTGATAGTGCTGCATGCTACTCATGTACTGTTGTGCATAGTTATGCTTGTAGTGTTTTCAAGATGAACCTCAAACAATAACAGCATTTGGACAGCGGATGCTCACAGTTTCCATACACCAAAATATCCAATAATGAAAAGGGGACTGAAAAATGAAATGCAAAACAGCATGCACCAGCAGGACATTTGTGACCAAGTCCAGGGACCTAAGTATTTTGTTGTTCGCTCCATTCATTGCTCGTTGCCTTTAGCTGGCACGCATAAAGTTTACCCAGCAAGTGTTAGATAGTCTTAACTTCAAGTACTGGGTAGTAAATTTCTGGATCACTTACTCTGGTGGCTCTTTAGTACACAAAGAGCGAACAGATGGTAAATGTGCTTCAGATGTGCTGACCACCCTTCCTGAAACACTTGGCAGTGGTTGGGGATTTTTATGTGACTTTGTCACTGGCAGCAGATGTACAGTAAAGAAGAAATAGAGCTGATGGGTGGATAGAAAGACAGATGCACAGATTTCTT